AGTTGGGGTTCTTGCATTATTTCCTTGGATTAGAAGTTACTTATTCCCCTCGTGGCTATCTGCTATCTCAGCTCAAATATATTTTAGAACTTGTTTTACAAGCTCGATTGAATGATGATACTAATAAGGTTGATACCCCCACTAAATTGAATGTCAAACTTAGAGCTACAGATGGTGAACTCCTTCTTGATCCAACCTTTTACAGACAATTGGTTGAGAAACTGATATATCTCATGATTTCACGACCCGATATTGCTTATGCAGTACATTTGGTTAATCAATTTCTAAGTGCTCCTCAATCTGTTGACCTTGCTATTGTCTTACACATCATCCACTATGTTAAGAATACTTTTCATTAGGCTTTATTCTTCTCATCCTCTTCTTCACTTGAGCTTTGGGCATACTCAGACTCCGACTTTGCAAGGAATCTCTGTGATCGTAAATCCACTACAACATTTTGTGTTTTTCTAAGTGATTCCCTTTTGTCTTGGAAAAACCAAAAACAAAAACGTATTGCCCAATCTACAATTGAAGCTGAATATAGGGTCATGACACAAACTACCACTGAAGTTGTTTGACTTCGTTGGTTACTTGTATATATGGGTGTCCCTATTGCCACTGCTACACCAGTCTATTGTGACAATAAGAGTTTTATATTTCAAAGAACTCATAATTTCATGAACGCACAAAACATATTGAAGTTGATTGTCACGTCGTACGACAAGAATACCTAGCAAGCACAATTTCTCTTCCCTATGTACCCTCATCTACACAATTTGCTGACTTCTTCACCAAAACTCATACTGTGGCTTAATTCTCTCAGTTTATGTCCAAACTCTCCATGGTTTATTGCAAATCATCTCGAGTTTGATGGGGAGTATGAATGTATATTTACTTTCTATTCTTGCTTGTACATGGTAGGAAAGTGATTCATCATGTATGTTACTTTGTAGGCCCACAAATTTAGGGTCATGTCTACAATTTGCATACAATATGAGAAATGCAATTTCTCTTTCACAATATGCACAACTTCTGATCAGTTAGTAACTCTTTCAAAATGCATTGGATTTTTACTTGTCATTTACATTTGGTTAGATAATGTCCTCTTTTTCATTACCATGTGGTTTTATAGTGTGTTGTCTATCGCTACTTCTTTTTTTCTGGTCAGTTGTATAAGCATTATGAACATTTGGTGTATATGGCCAGTTTGAACATCTTAAAGCTTCTCATTCTTTTCCATATGTGGATCAATCTAATTCATGTTTAGGAGGTAGAAATGTGAGTTGAGCTTCTAGATGGTGGTCTAATGGGTTATCTTCTGGGGTGCATACTGAAGTCAAATTTGAAGGGCATATGGCAAAAACACTCACTCTTCATGACAACAGTCAAGGAGTACCTGATAGTGAGATTTAGACATTTTTGCTGAAATTGCTTCTTCTTGTAGAGTATTTGCACAACTTCTGGTCAGTTAGTAACTCATTCAAAATGTTTAGAGTTGTTATGCACAACTTCTTATGAAAAAGATGTCACTCTTGACTCTTAAGCTTCATCAAGTTCAGTTATTGTTCTGCCTAACCTAGATATTTGGTTCCTTATTGTGAAAAGTGGATGTAGGTCAAGATATTTGAACCACTTAGGATGTTGTCAGCATCCACAAACAAGGGAGGATATCCACAAGGTATATGTTCACGTTGCCATACAATGTAATTCAAGTCTATTAAGCTTCCCAGCCAACCCTGGAAGAATGTACTATCGATGTCCAAGGTGTAATTTTTTTCAATGGTGCAACGAATACATGGAAGTATTGAACATTAATGTCAACTTGAGGCCACATAACATGCAACAAAGGGATCAATCACAAGCATCACAAAAGCATCCCATGGCGAAGCCCGAATCGATGTCATTCGAATTATTGATACAATATGGCTATACAACAATTTCTATTTTTCATGTGTAACAAATGCATTTATTTTTGTACTACTCCTTCTATCCCTTTAGTGATATTACAAGGGATTTCAACCCCCTTTTTTGGTTTTAGCCCTACAAATAATAGTTCAATAAAATAAAATAATTTCGTTTTGGTTATTTTATTTTAGGAAAAAGTTTATACGAGTGTGAGGCTCTAACAATCAAATTAGGGCACATATCAAAAATTTCACTAGAAGAGGTTGTTTTGATGTTCAAATATCCTCAAATTGATCATCTTGATCTCAAGATGCATAGACAAGCGAAAAAAATGGATGTCAAGTTTTAGAAATAGTGCAGCTTGTAATGCATTTTTGGAACCTTCAATTTTCAAGATTATCGAGTTTTCATAGATCAGTTTGATCTACACTATTTTTAAAGCTTTAAATTTTATAATTAGATATGAAAATATATTTTAAAGCTATCACGAAGATTTCCATTATTCAAACTACATTTCTCGATTCCATTTGAATATGCAATTTATTTTGATTGTTTAGAGCTCTGCCTTATGCAAACCACACCCTTAAAAGT